GAGACTTTTTTGTTTCTTATATTTACAAATATAAAGCCTTATGAATATTCAGACAAGACAAAATGTCTAGCCAGTTCTGTCCAGCAGAACTTTCTTCAACGATGGAAATGTTCTAGATCTGCAGCATCCAATGCATTAGCCACTAGCCACATGTGGCTACTGAGCATTTGAAATGTGGCTATTGCAACTAAGAAACTTATTTTTAATTCCATTTCATGTTAATTTTAACAAATTTGAGTAGGTGTATGTTGTCAGTGGGTACTTATCGGACAATGCAAGTCGAGAGAGTGTGATGTGAATGGCACCAAGTAAGCTTCTTCACCCCCAAATTTCTGTATCCCTATTTCTCAAGGTTCCTTCATCTCCATGAGTTGAAACTGACTGTTTAAGCAATGAGATGCAGAATGAAATTAAAACTACATGCCAGTCAGAGTTCTTGGTTGTAAACACAAGCCAACTCTAGTTGACTTACACAAAAAAATATTTTGCAGTTATTTAGACACTCCTCCAAAATCAAAAGGAAGCCTGGAGAATCAAGCTTGAGCTGGAAGAAAGGAAGCTGGTGAATGGCCAAGATCTTGCCACCATGAACAGTCAGCTGAGGATACCATTGCTGGCTGTGACATCCCTGGACACTTGCCACTACACTGCAGAATTCTGCTGCCCTTGGTCACTCTCTGCTGGCTGTTCAACTCTTAACTCCACAATAGCCACTTCTAATAAACTCCAGTTGGACTTGGGCCATTTTATCACTCCTTAAAGATCCATGGTATAGCTGTCAGTCCATTGGAAGGAAATATCTGCTCACCTTTTGGGTTTATAGACAGTGCCCCTCCACATTTAGGGGCAAAGAAGGAAATCAGTGTAAGCAAAGGTATTTATTTCAATGAAATTTTTCTATTTTATTTCCAAAGAGATTGACCTTAGTGCCAATTCTAAAGAAGTGGATGCAGAATCAGAATGATTTGCTACATAGAAAGATGTTTTAAGTCTTTTAAATTTTTGAATATGGTTGGTATTTTTTAATTAATCTTTAGCCATTAAATTATAATATAAAAATTATATAATTATAATTTTCTGTTGTTTTAAGACAGAGTTTCACTCTTGTTGCCCAGGCTGGAGTGCAGTATGATCTCGGCTCACTGCAGCTTCCACCTCCCAGGTTCAAGCAATTCTCCTGCCTCGGCCTTCCGAGTATCTGGGCATACAGGCTCCCACCACCATGCTCGGCTAATTTTTTTTATTTTTAGTACAGACGGGTTTTTGCCATGTTGGCCAGGCCGTTCTCAAATTTCTAATCTCAGGCGATCCACCCATCTCGGCCTCCCAAAGTGCTGGGATTAGGTGTGAGCTACCACGCCCAACCAATCATAACTAATTTTAATTAGTTACAATATTATTGGTCATGAAGCTATAATTCATATTTATAATTGCTTTGGTTAAGCTAACAGTTGATACTATTAAAATCTATGAAATCTACGGAGAAAAGGGTCAAGAGAGCTGCACTGCTTGGTGTGTGCCTACCATCTAGTGGCAGGACACATTAATGCTACTGTGCATGAAATCCTAGAGTGCATGAAAGGCAGGTTTGCCAGGGACAGTTTGCTCCACTTTACATTTTTCCCAATGTTTTGACTCAATCATTTGTAGAAAGAGACATCCTTAGACTTTGGAAATTATCTCCCATTTTATTCAGTATCATTACAGCTGAATTGCAAACATGAATCTCTGAGAGCCAAAACATATCTACGCATTAGTTCATTCCTACATTCACTAAGCACAATTCCTTTTATTTTATATTACATGTCTCCAGAAACAAAAAGTGGTTTAGGGATGCTATTATTCTCCCATGAAGAATGTTTTGACCACTATTATAAACACACACATTGACACTGGAGTCACTGATGTCATGGATTGCTGGCTTCTAAAGAGCTCTTCTCCCTCCAAAGAGTGAGAAGATTCAGTTTGAGAAAACAATGATAGAGAATCTATCAGTATTTATGCAGACCACTTTAGTAAGGATGGGAGTGCCATGAGTGAGTAAGACATACATCCAGACCTCTGCTTCATTCTGTCCAATCCTTCTAAGAGTTAGAACTCCTTGTAGTATTTGTGAAGTATCATACTCTGTTAGCAAAATCAAGACAATCAACTTCTTACATACATGAGACTAAGACAATCGACCTTATATTTAAAAGATAAATTCTTGTTGCAACGTTGCCCTCTAAGAACTCTTCCAAAAGGAAGACACAAACATCAAGCAGGTGTCCTAATAAAGTTTCTGGTAGGTGGTTTGGCTGAAAAGGTTGAGATGAGGTTGATGTAAGCAGCATTAAGGGAGATCTGTGCTCGCTAGAAGCGGGTGAGTCCATGGCTTTCTGGGCTTGGCTGGCATGCTATGTTTGATTCATATTATGCAAGAGACTATGTTAAAATGTTAATCTGAATCTGAAAGCAGGAGGAAGATTAGCTGTATTAACTATGAAAGCAAGGTAGATTTGGGGTTTGGGAACTGAAGAATTTGGGGGACTGGGCTGAAGGGAGAGGAGGAACGTTTAAGATTCCTTCATGGGGCAGGATATGATAATAAGAGTCCTGAAAGTTTGAGAGGTGAATGACGTTGCTAGACCTCTGAGTGCAAGGAGCATACAGGCAGAGGCCTAGTGAGGATGGAGTCAAGGTCATTAAGGGATGGGTGAACCCAGCAAGGGAGCCTTTCTCCTGTTCTCAGTCACTCCCCTCACTCGCCTTCCTGCCTAGCTGTCCACTGGCCCCTTCTCTTCTTAGTGTTGCCTTCTTCCTCCTTTGCTGTGGCTGGCTTTTTTCCGCCCCTCCATAAATGGCTGTATCAGTTTAATCACAGTTACACATGAAACCTATAATTTCTTTTGCTTCTTGAACATCTAAATTAAAATTCGTGACTTGAATCTTCCATATTTCTAAAGAGTAAGTCTCTAGTGAAATTTCTTTTTAATTGTCTATGACCTTCAAATTATTTTTTCTGTTGATGTACAGTCCTAAAGAAAAAGAAAAGGAATCAAAGGCTCTCTATTCCTCAAAATAAAAGTTCTCCTTCCACTCTCATCAAAGTCCAGTATCTAGAGATTGGCTGCTCACCAAAGACCTTACATTTGTGCCTAAGTGCTTATGCCTAATTAGAGACTACGCAGAGATCAATCCTGTTATCTTGAGGCTTTAGAGATGCTTCTTCCTACTCCAGACTTTTTTTTTTTTTAAAGAGAACTTGAAAACCCCAGTAATAGTAGTATCCTTAAAATGGCAATAACAAAAAAAGGTTGAAATATTTCACAAATATTTATTACAAATAGGAACAACTGAACAACATCTTAGTAATAAAAATATGGCCTCCTTCAAAGATATGACCCCTGAGTACTTTTCCAAAAGGGTAAAAGATGTGAAACACGGCAAAATGCTGTTCCATTTCTGATTTCAAGACCCTGTAAGACAGTGAGAGGAGGAAAAGCACGGGGCACTGGAGCATCTAGGATCTATAGAGGCACTATTTGCACTTTCTCTGCTGTTTCCAGTATGGAAAATCCGACCCCTTCCTTTTCATTTCTTGATAGTCTCTACTGACTTTCAATTACTTGATTTGCTCATCTTTGTGAGGGTTTTTCAGTCCCAGAGGAACTTTTTTTTTTTTGAGACGGAGTTTCGCTCTTGCTACCCAGGCTGGAGTGCAATGGCGCGATCTTGGCTCACCGCAACCTCCGTCCCCTGGGTTCAGGCAATTCTCCTGCCTCAGCCTCCTGAGTAGCTGGGATTACAGGCACACGCCACCATGCCCAGCTAATTTTCTGTAATTTTTTAGTAGAGACGGGGTTTCACCATGTTGACCAGGATGGTCTCGATCTGCCGACCTCGTGATCCACCCGCCTCGGCCTCCCAAAGTGCTGGGATTACAGGCTTGAGCCACCGCGCCCGGCCCCCAGAGGAACTTTTAATTCCTGTTTTTACTCTCTTCTGATTGGGGGGCGCACAAGGTTAATATCCATGGAAAACGTTCAGGAAGCCAGACAAGTTACAATTTTATATTAATACACAGAATATCCAGAGAATATAAAATGCTACACCAAAATCAAGTGATTCACTGCGACATAGTATTTCTCTCCTTTCAATTATTTAATGTCCCACAGAAGCTTGACTGGCATTTTCTATGCATTTTTGAAGAGAAATGGAAAGAGATGTGGGGTGTGTGTAACGTAGTAGCTATTTCAGGAGAGATTAGCTTGTGTAATCCAGTCACAGAAGGATAATCGCAGACACCAGAGCTACATTTCTTTGACTGAATTCATGTAAATCAGTATTTTTTTAACTTCTACACATGAATAAGAAGTAATTTCATTCACTATGGTTGCTGTGTGGTGTAAATACACGTATTCACTAATGTTAAGAAAATTGTGCCTATTACGTACGGTAGTGAGGCGCATAATTTACAGACACTCATTGATTGAAGTGTTTCCCTGTGGAATCAGGTGCGTTCAGAATCAGATGAAGGAAAAACAAAGGAGGCATTCGTCTATTTTCCATTTCATGAATCATAAAATCAGAGGTTTGGTTTGACCACCTTTAGATTCCCCTTCGGAGTTCACTGGAAACCGCTTTGGAATCAGCTATCTACTAAGTTTGGAATTGCCACCACAAAAGTAAACACCGTAGTGAGGAGCGGATTGAGGAAAAAAATAAATACTCGGTGGAAGGAACCACCAGACTCTAGGGAGGGGACGGTGGGAACGGCCCCTGTCACAGTCACTCAATCATTTAGCCAAAGCGTCAATATTCTCAGAGCAAAGAACTAGTGTTTCTGACTCCAGGGGTGACTGGATTCACAACTAAAAATGCCTCTTCGTCGCTCTCCACAGCCCCTCCCACGCCAGGCGCCAGGTCGGCACCCCTTCTTCGCGGTGCATTTCTGCTTACCCCCAAAACCCGAGTAGTAAAGGGAAGCTCCTCGCGGCCCCCGCGGGTTCCCCAGGACCCGCAAGTTGAAGCGCGAGGGTTCCACGCCGGCTGCTGCGGGTACGCGGGCCTCAGCGCTGCGGACTTCCTCAGGGCACCTGGGTCGGGGCGGGCGCGGAGTTCCGCGCGCAGCGGCTTCTCCGCCGGCCTCGCCTCCGAACCCCGTGCGCTTCCCTACTTCCAGCGCGGCGGCGCCCGCGACCCCACTACCCCGAGTGCCGGGCTCCTGGGGAACGGTCGCCCCCGGGGCCAGCGCCAAGCAGCCCCCGCCTCCCTTGTCTTCCCGGAATCCAGGGGCCAAGCCGGAGGCGGCAGGGCCACAGTGGGCGCCCCCGAAGTGGCCCGAGCGAGGGCCCCTCATCCCAGTAGAGCCTGCTCGAGGGTACAGCCGGCCACGCCAGGGGAGGCGGCCGGGCGGCGGGGAACGGCGGGGGCGGAGCGCAGCCTCCCGACGACGCCGCCTCGCCGCCCCACTCCGCCTCCTCGTCCTCCGCTCGCAGCCGCCGCCTCCGCCGGGCTGAGGAGCCCGGAGTCTGAGGAGCCGGGAGTCCGCGGCGCCGGCTCGGAGCTGCGGAATGGGGAGTTAGCGCCACGGCGGCGGCAGTGGCCGCAGCGCACCCGGCCGCCGCCCTGGGGCCAGTCCCGCCGGGGGTGCCGGGCTCGCCCAGCCCGCCTCGGAGCCAGGCCCGCGGGCGGCGGCAGAGCTGGGCAGGTGGATGCGGCTGGAAGATGGCGCCCTCGGGCCCGGGCAGCAGTGCTAGGCGGCGGTGCCGGCGGGTGCTGTACTGGATCCCGGTGGTGTTCATCAGCCTCCTGCTCGGCTGGTCCTACTACGCCTACGCCATCCAGCTGTGCATAGGTGAGTGCGCCCCCGCCCCGGCGCCCCGCGCCGCCCACCCCGACAGTCCCGGGACCCTCAGCCTCGCCTCGGCTGTCGCCCCCCGGGTGCGCCCCGCCCGGGAGCCTCCAACCCGCCGCGTCCCCCAGGCCCCGGCCCCGCGGCCGAAAGCAGCCTCTGGGCAGCTCCTCGCGCACGCCCCTCTCCCTCCCCTCCCAACTCTGGGGTTACGGTGTCGCCTCCACCCGCACTCGCCGCCGAGCCTCCCGCCGCCTTCCGCTCACCGCCGCCGCCCCGGCCACACCCCCTAGAGGGGCAGACGGTCCCCCGGACCGCGGTGGAGAGCAAAGGCCGAGGCCGGCGGGGTGCGCCGGGGGCTGGAGGGCTCTGAGCTGGGCCGGGCCGCGAGCTGCGCCAGACCCGCGCGGGGGTGCTGGCCTCGGCGGCGGTGGAGCTGGATCCCTTGCTGGTTGGCGTCAATCCACTCGTTAAAAATTTGTGACAGCGCTTAGGGGTGTTTTTGTTGCCTTTATGATTTGAGGGCTGCCAGTTGGACACTTTTCTAGTTAAAAAGGATGTGGAGGAGGTGAGCTACTAGGAAGTATTTTCGAGGACATGTGCAACACACCAAACCATAATTTAGGTGTTTGAACAGCACGGAGAGAAAAGGTGATCGTCTGAGGTTTTTACATCCAGAGAGCCAAGTGGCTCCAGTCCGAGTTCTGGGTTCCCGAATTGGTGGGTAGGGTACTTTTAACGCTGAAGATTACAATTTTTTTTAAGTTGATTTTTATACACAAGTAGGGAGTGCAATGATATCGCTTAATGTAAGCTGGTTTCTACCTTCAGAGGTTTTGTGAAAACTAATGTGGGTTATCAGAAAAAGATGTTAAAACAGAGAATGACCTTTCTGCCAGTGACTTGTGAATGCTTTCTGTGTTTGGTGTTCCACCTAACAAAGTGTCTATGTTTTTGCCCTACCAAACACTAGCTTTGGGTGGGACAAGGGAAAAGATTAAATAGTGGCCTATTACATTGACCCTCTAATCTAAGCATTTTCAAAGCCTCAAGATTCAGACATAAAATCTTGTCTGAAGCCATCTCGCCTCAAAACGTTGCCCCTTGTGAGAAAGCCGTAATAATACATCAAAATCATCACTGATGTAAGTTTAAGGAGAACTAACTTTTATTTCATATAGTTTTGATAGTTTTAAATTTTGCTATTATTACTTGAAGGGATTTAGAAACAAGCTTAATAATAATTAAAAAAACCCCTCTTGAATCTGTTGTTAGGAAAAGATGAAGCTGTACAGGCATCATCGTGAGAATGCATTTAGGTATGTGGTGGTCAAATCATCTAAAATGTATGGGAAAGGACGGGCAGTAAATTTTGTGTTAACTGTTAATGTTAAAATAGCTTGCCTTATTGAGATAGACTATATAGGTTACATAATTGTTGGGAACCTTTGTTGTATTTCATTCCTTCACCCTCTTAAAAACAGTGAATAATATCAATTAATATAACCTGCAAAGAAGGGACATCCTGGAAGGCCTTCATTATCAAAATAGGCAGCTTATTCTCCTGTATTATTACATTAAGCTAAGAAGCTTAGCTTAGTACAGTGTCTCATGTTCATTTGGAGGAAGCATTTGAAGGCAAAGAGAGCTTTTCTGCCCTTACAAGGATGTCTGTGCCTAGCTGAGGTGCTACATGGCAGGTCTTACTATTATATTGGGTAGACAGGTGATGGGGAAAAAACTAAATGGAAAATTGCTATTATATCTGAATCTATGTTTATATGTCTTAAACTTTCTATAAGTTTAAGACAAATCTAGAGTATTCATAAAATCCACATCATTATTTTAGTGATGATTTTACTAAGAGGAAGAATGCCTCTTTTAAAACTGCCTAAGTGGCATGGTCTGATATTGATACTTTACCTATCACTTCTCGTCTCTGCCTACCTGGCACCATGCCTGTCTGCCTGGCCTTGCTGGGTAGTGCCTACCACATTGAAAGCAACAGTAAGTGGTCTTGAATAAACAAATAAATGATTCAGAGGCAATATCTCCTAGAATTTCAGAAAGTAGCTTTTGTATTTTTATTGCTGTAGAAACAACAAGTAATTGTTACAAACGATGTCGATTCTAGAGTTTTAAGAAGGATGAACAAGTTGAAACTGAATTTGATTCTAGAGACCATGGCAGTGTAGGAGTGGCAAGCTTTGCATAGCCTTGGTTGAGTGGGAAGTTGAAATGAACTGTACAGTTTCTTTATAGGCAGTTGGAAAGATGACGACTAGTGTGACTGACACACAAAACCAGTCTCTGTTCCTTTTCACAGACAAAGCAAATGGAAATGCCAGCCCCCACCCCACCCCTAGCATTAATCACATCTCAGACTGCCCTGCCTTTTGAAGATTATTTTTCTTTTAGAAGTTGCCATTTACAAGCAGTTTTTCCAGATTTCTTCCATAAAACATTGGCCAAGGTGGACCAGAGTGTGGGGGTCAGGGACTGGGAACTGGATCGGGTAATAAATAGAATGAAAGAAACAGGGTGATTTGCCCTGGTCCTCCTTCCACATCTGCTCTCAGCTAGGGATGACCCTGAATGTAAATTATTCTGTGCCCTTTGCTGAATGAATTGCAATTTAGGAGTAGTGCTTATCCTGGTATCCTTGGAAACTGGAGATAATGATTCTCATTACAGTTAGTTTCTATATTTAACAACGTGGATGTATGTGGCTCTCTAGGCACTTTTTCAGTTAGCATAATTTTTGCTTAGTGTTTGTATTTTATAAAAATAACCTCTCTTTTTGGAATATGTGTATATGTAAAATATATGGGATGCACATATATTGTGTGAGAGTCAAGTATTTCTGGTGAAGTCAGCTTCCTATTCTGCCAAAGAAAAGATCACAAAAGACAGTTATACTGCTAACCATTTGGATTACGTTTATCTAGTTTGTTGATTAGGCTCTTCTATTCCTGTTCCTCCCCCTCCATCCTTCCCTTCCCTTATCACTCCTCTTCCCTCTCCCCTGTCCCTCTTATCCTTTTCTCCACTCCTGGCTTCTTTTGTGTCTTAACTGTCTTTTTCTCTTTAGTTATTAGCTTGATTTCCATCAAGTCAGATAAACTCAAAGGTAAAATTTATACAGGGAACTTTAGGATGCACCCTGACAGGGAGTAAGGGTGGTCTGCAGCCTCAGGCATGCTTGATTTAGTGGGCGCACGACATGGTTGAGGTGTGTTTCACAGATCCCTTATGGCTGCTGCTGTGTTAACTTTGCTCCTGGAAGAAGGTCACTGAAGTTTCCCCTTTTAAGTGCTCACGTTTACATTATTTTAACTCTTTCATGCCATTTTATTTAGGTATTTCAAATTTACTGAAAAGTTTCAATGGTACAAGAAACGTCCACATGCCCTTGTGTAACCATTTCAGTTACCATTTTTCTGAAATACATTAGTTTCTGGTTTCTTTGGCAGAGGCTATGGGGTATTTATTTATTTATTTCGAGACGAAGTCTTGCCCTGTCACCCAGGCTGGAGTACAGTGGTGCAATATCGGCTCACTGTAACCTTTGCCTCTTGGGTTCAAGCGATTCTCTTGCCTCAGCCTCCCAAGTAGCTGGGACTACATGTGCACGCCACCATGCCCAGCTAATTTTTTTGTGTGTATTTTTACTAGAGATGGGGTTTCACCACGTTGGCCAGGATGGTCTGGATCGCTTGACCTCGTGATTCGCCTGCCTCTGCTTCCCAAAGTGCTGGGATTACAGGCGTGAGCCACTGTACCGGTAGGGACATTTATTATGATGTTGCATACTAATATGGTTCTGAGTTTGCTTATGGTTTTAGTTAAGTCATTTTAAACAATCATGAAGATTGAAAAGCTTAGAGGGCATCCAGGCTAACTCCTCCTGTATTTCTAAATGAAAGAGTTAAACATTCCAGAGTTGCCACAAGTTCAGTGTTCTTTCTCCAAGTTACCTAGCAGAGGTGTCAGCTATGACTTTAGCTGCTGTGATTCAGATGTCCAAATGTCTCCTTTTCCCACCAAACCCCTCACCAAATCTCCTTTGCTGAGTAAAGTTAGCAACTCTTTTAACTTTGCTGTTGTTTACAAAGAGTTGACAGAGCTCTGAGAATAAGTCAACAGTTTTTACACAATGCTTTCAGAGTTTTAAAGGGCCTTGTAGTTTTGAGCTATACAGTAAATATTTTTGGTCTTATGATCTCTGTTCCAACCACTCAACTCTACTACTGTAGAGAGCAGCCATAGAAAATACTTTAACAAATAGGTGTGGCTTTTATTTAACAAAAGTGTTTAGCTAGCCTTGGCCCTTGGGCAATAGCTGGCTGAACTTGGGAATATATTAGAAGTTAGACCACTAGAATCTTGAGGTTTTACTCACAGTTTTGCTGTCTTTATTAATAAACATCCCTCAGCAGTGATCACACCCTATTATATATACTTAGGGATCAGTTTGAGAGATACACGGCCATGTTTTCATACTTTTAAACAAGCAAACAAACATCCCTAAGAACAAAATACATCAAGCCTCCTACTTGGATTCTGTGAAGTTATGACCTACCATTAATTCAAGGCCTTGGCAAGCTCAAGCATAGAGACTACTGGGGCTCTCAGTTGCTTTCCACCGTGAAATGAATTTGAGTTACACAGAAGAAGAAATGTATTCTTGTTATTGATATTTAAACTATCACTTTATATTATTAATATCTTGCTACTCCTGTTATTTAAACTATTACCATAAAAACTCTGTAGGACAATAAAGTATTTAAAAAGAAAGAGGCAGAAGATCTTGGGATTACAAATGTTTTATTAGGTTGATGCAAAAGTAATTGTAGTTTTTGCCTTTATTTGGTTTTGCCAACTATTTTAACTATTAAAATAGTTTAAAGTGGAATACAAGGCACACCCATAGTGATGCTTGCAAAACATTTAATGACTAAATCATTTTAGAAATTATTACATTGGCTGGCATGGTGGCTCAC